TGCATCGAGTAGCTTCGCACAGTCCAGTGTCTCCTGAGCATATCACATTCTTGAGTATAAAGCTAAAAACCTAAATTATCTTTCAACTTTACAGAACATTACTAATGTTGCAAAGTTTCTTATCAATTCTGAGCTTAACATCGTCATATTTTATGCCATGCAAAAGCTCTTCAGTTTGCAGACTTTTTGTGAAATTGCAATTACCTCATTTTGAATTTGGATTGTAAAACCCTCTCTTGTCATATTATTGTACAACACATTTAATTATATATCTAGGTTCTGTATGTTTTTGGTTTAACTCTTTGGTTTTCAACAGGACGCTGAAATATTTCTCCAGATAAAAACCAACAGGGCAAACTTATTAGTATCTGCCAGCGTTAGGGGCTTAATGTGCATCATTTCTGTCTAAACTGTCCTGAATGACTTCAAGATTAAACACACTCATGAAAAAAGTGATTTCTTACGCTACAATTTTTGTGAAAATATTTCGATATGCCATATATTTTCACAAGTCAAAGTCAGATTTCTATCTTCAATACAAATTTATTCAAACTTGTGTCATTTATAAAGCCTGGCATAAGGATCATTCTCTCATCTTAAAGCATGTGGATGGATGGATACACAACACAATCAGTTCAGACCACCTTTTCTTTAGCAACACAAATATTAAACATTTATCTGACCTTATTCTAACATTTAAAAACACAAATAATATGCAGTTAACACTTTAATAATTTCTCACGCTTGACCGATCCTACAGGACCGTTTTAATAGCAGGCCTAAAGCTGAATGCAGTATGAAAAATACTGATAGGATTTGTCAAGCTATATTGATCCATATAACTGAGAGTTGGGGCTCTATTGTCCTAGATTGACAATTGATATGTATAGTTTACTGAATAACCAGGACAAAGTTAGCCTACTGTCCAGGCCTTGGTAAAAAAGAAAAAAAAAAGAAGAATTGTGCAGCTGTATAAAGTGTCAGATTTTGTTACCTGTTGGGTTTTTACATGTTTGTGTAGTTATTGTGAGGTTATTTGTAACCATTGGTCTCGTTTCCTATCTCAAGAAAATAGTTTAACTAACTTAACAGATAAACACACACAAAGGGTAACACATGCTCACCTCTTCAGTGTTCCTGGTGGAAAGGTGAACCAACAAAAGAGTCTGAAAGGCACACAGACTTGCTTAAAAGCTCCAGGAGCAGACCATGTTAAAATGGAGGGGGAGGAAGGTGCAAAAATTGCACCATTTTTGGTGAAGCTAACTTTAGTTAAGCATCCTCCTATAGCCTCAGTCTGTAGTCTAGTGTTGTGAATATTAAATATGATGATAGTATTTGCATTTGTGTTACTTTTTTGTACGTTTTTATTCCCTTGGATTTGGCCTCCCCCCCTCTACATGGTATTTTCCAGCCTCTTACCTGCAGACTATAAAAAGCACCCACTTGTCACACTCTGTTTGGATGTCTTCAGTCATCACAGGAAAATGTGACACAGCACCAGCCGAGATGTGAAGCAGCTCTCGACAAAGTTCAGTCGATCAATCACTCTGCATATAATGTAAGCATTCACCTTTGTTTAATTCTCCCTTTTCCTGTCTGTTTCACTTCCCACTTTCAAACGCAGACCTTTATTGAAACGACATGAATGTGTGAAACATAACTGCGTTATTTTGGCGCCAAAATATATTTGGCGCCAAATTAATTGGATTGAGGCCTATCTTGTTGAAATGTTGACATGGATTGAACATCCTGTTGGATTTGTACGCTTTTCTTGTTGTTAAAGTTGATGTTTTCGCGCTGATTTTGATGCATTTGGTTGAGGCCTACCGACTCAGGAGTTCAAAATCCCCACAGTCACTGAACACAACCTCAAACCACTTGCTGTTTGATACACAATGTGCACATAGGGCCTCAGTTTTATTGAGGTTTTTATGAAAACCATGCCACCTCTCAACGGGATGCAACACAGGGCCTGTTCTCACGACAAATGACTTTAGGATTGTATTCGCATTAACAAATCCAAGTTTGCGCTTAGAAAGAGAATTTTTAGATCAACCTGCGCACAACATGTGGAAACATATTCCACTTTACCATGCGTTTTAAACCAGGCTGTGATTTAGGAGTCGTTTGGTATTCTGTATCCATCCTGCTCTGTTTTTGTTGCTCGTCTATGTCACATAAGCACGTAGCAGCCGGCCCATTTTGCAGCTGCATAGAGCTGTCTCCGGTGCACCGTAAATAAGGTTGATAAAGACGCTGCCGAAAACGACTTTCACGCGTCCCTCGATTGATTTAACGTGACCCCCGTTTCCAAATGATATTGGAAGCCTATTTAAACAGATGAAGGCTTAAATTGTCTTGCTTGTATGCGCATTAATCTCCCATTCATCATCATTACTGTGTGATTGCTCCGTCCACGCCTCCGCCAGCCCCTTGCGTTACGACAAGGGCCTGTAAATTAGGATGTAATCCAATTTAAACAGCGGCAGCAGCAGCCACACATCCATTTGGTGTCTTTTTTTTCTTGAATGTTCTGTCGGTGGACAGCTGCACTGCACCGCCCCTATCAAAATGCTTTGTGCTGGTTGTGGGAGCTGGGGAGCCCTGAGCCAATTCTCCAAATAGGATCTTATACACTGGTGTAATTGGTGTTATGCGTGCAATCTATGAGCCCATCATATCTTGAAGCTCAGTCAGACGCAATCTTTCAGCGTTTAAATGCATGTTGATGCTGGATTAGGCCACTGAGGGTTCAGTCGTGCATTTTACGCAGTGTAGAGATGGAGATCCATATGCGCGGCTGGGTAAATGTGGTTGTAATTTGCCTCACTTTAATGTGTCATTCTGGCACAGTGTGACGCGGGTTTAGAAGATGATCGTATACTCGCTGCCGCTCCCGTGCAACCGAATAAAAATCAGCTTCCCAGGCTGTTAAAAATGAGCAGAATTTAGAGAGACTTTGCCTTTTGAATATTCAGCTCTGGCCTGATACGTTCGTCTTGTTTTTTTTTTTTACAGAGCGATTTTATTACGCACAAACCAAAGCCACTTTCCTGCATGACCCACGTCCCCATCAGGTTTAAAGACACCGGCTGATAGTTTACATAAATCTGCCTTGTGCTTTCGCCCCGACCCGGACGGCTTAAACGGTGTATTATTCCAAACATATGCATTTTAATCAGCTCGGTCACACTTACAAGAACTGCAGTTAATAAGGCCATCAATCAAACGCGCGTGCAGGAGGGGAGGAAGGGGAGAGAGTGAGGGTGGGGGGCTCATTGGTGCGTTGTGAGTGCGGGTGCAGTGCAGTCTTGATTAGGATAAACCTTTATACTTCAGAAAGCAGAAGGAGGATGAAAACACGAGCAGTTAGAGAGAGGAGTTTAGTGAAGGATGTGTTTATACGCACAGAATCCCCATCCATAGAGGAGGTAGGATGTTAAAAACTATACTGTAAAAATAAAATAAAAAACATCATTTACTAATTTTCGTTCATGTAGAGGTAGATTATGGAGATTTATCCAAATATGTGTTTTCTAAAATGGAAATTCAGCCTTTTTGCCGACCTAAATCGCGATTTGCAGACATTTCTCCTCTAAGTTTTGAAGGCCTTAGCTAAATGCCAACAATTTTCTCCTCACATGATTACTTCACCAACTTCTGATTTATCCCACCTACTTATTTCACGATAATCCGTTTAAAAATCTGAATTCTGTGTCTCTCCGTGGGCTACAGAAGCTCCCCAACCCCATTACGCGCAGAAAACTCTTTTAATTTGCGCTGCTCCGGTCAAACGCGGCCAATTAAGACCCCCTCTGATTGGTGGCGGGCCTCTCTGAATCACATCGATCTCTTTGCATTTCCAATATCTTCAGACAACTAATTCTGTCGTGTCTATTAAGCGGCTCGAGAGAAAATATGAGAAGCGTTTGCGGAGCCCGGGGACCACTTAACTGTCACGGTCAATCTAGCGGTCCCATCAGAAGATATGGGGGACACGCGGGTGTTTTTGACATTCACCACTTGAGAGGAAAATTAGTGTTATTATTAGAGGGGGTGGGAGACCAATTTTGAGCGCAGAAAAATCTTTAACAGAGGAAAAACAAAATAAAACGTCCAGAAAGGAGGTCTGGATCACTTAGTTTGCGTAAAAATTCGTTGTTTTTGTAATAAAATATGTTTTTATTTTGTTTTGAAATGAATTTTCATCCATTTGGATCAAGAATCAATCGGAGGAGAAGACAAACTCGTTTGTAACATTGATTCTTTGACAGTGTTTATTGCAAATTAGACGTTGAGGACAACCCAGGCATTAAAAGAACAAACAATAAAATGAAGGAAAAACAGAGTCACTCTTTAGTCCTTTTTCATAATCTGGCCCCACTGAGTTATGAAAATACCCTAAAAGAGCCATATAGTCATATATTAATCACATTTTTATCTGTAATCGATAACTGGCTTTCTTGTTTATTCGAGAGCAAACCAAAGGAGTGTTTCATATTTATTTTTTTTCATGGTGATTGTCCTCCCTCTGTCCCTCGCCATCCTCTTCTTCCTCCCCTTCATCTCCTTCTTCTTCTTCTCTTCCCCCTCCTCCTGTAGTAATCCGTTCCCCTGGCGCCTTGTTACCTTTTGGCAGTAACGATCCCTTCCCGGTATTATTATTAATTCAACACTCAAAATTCAACCGGCTCTCGTACATATACATCACTCTGATAATTTTCTCCAGCATCTGCACATTTTCGGCGCGGGGGCTTCAGCCGCCGTGGAGGGCCCTGGTGTGGAGAGCTGCTTCATAATGACACGGCCTCAGTCTGTTAACAAATCCTCCTTGTTAAAAAAGAGGGATGGAAAGCATCATTCTCGCGTAACTAACAATACATGAAGGACGATTTGGGCGACACGAAATGATAAAAACCTTAACACCATCCATCACGGAGACTTAAACGTTCCTCTGGACCCCCTCCCCTCTCTTATAAATCAAATTAATCATCTTAAAAATCAAATCTGCTTTTGTGTCCATGCCGTCATCTTTCAGCCCGCTGTCTTGACTCTGCAATGGGATTATTATTCGTCAGTAATGGGAGATCCGTTGTGCGTCACATAGCTCAAGATCTGGCTAATTGTCTTGGCCCAAGTTGAAGCTGGTTTCACTGCTGACAGGCGACCTCTTCATGCTGTTTCAGTCCTGATATACGAATACGTTAGGTTAAAAAGCTTATGGTAAAGGCTTGTTTTAGAGGAAGAGTTTTGGTTTTATCTGGTCAGAGGCACCTCCTCCCTCTGGTCTAACGTCACAGGTGAGGATTTGCTGAGCACTGAGGGCGTAAAAGTGACAAAAGCGTCAGTCCTGCTGGTTGGAGAGCACGCGAAGTCCGATCCAGAGGGCCTGGTTGAGATTCCGTTAGACTGACTGGAGTGACAGGCCAGGCATGAGCAGGGACTTCCTCCGGGACCGAGGCCGTGCGGGGGTCCGGGGTACAGGGAGGGGTGTCTGAACGCGCACAGCAGCTCCGGCCTCTGGTAGGGGTGAGACAGCATGCGGAAACTGTCCAGGGAGCGCAGGGGGTTGGAGAAAGGGGTGGCGGCGGGAGCAGAGCCAGCTCCAACACCCAGGTGAGAGTAGTAAGGCAGAGGCAGGTGCGATGGGAAGGGGTAGGGCAGGTTCCCCGTGGCCGCCGCGTGGCTCATCATGTAGGTGTAGAAGGCCGGGTCCGCCGGGTGAGGCCACGTCATGGCCAGACGTTGGCGCTTGTCTTTCATCCTGCGGTTCTGAAACCACACCTGAGGAGACGGAGACATAAAGAGTCAAATATTAACCACAAACCCCCAACAAATCAAAGAGTGCAAGACAAACCCACAGTAACCAAAGCAAACATGCAGCTGGAACTGTGGTTCCGCTTTTACGCACGGATTTGTAGTTTACCTTTTTTTTAATAGAATGGTGACATTTAACTTTTTGTAATATTTTTAAGGAATAACATGACATTAATGACATTTTCGACAAAGCTTTGTGAGAACAAAATATTTAAGTGAAATAATAAAACAGCCCTTGCTTTCTCCAAACACTTTCAGCTTCTACTTTTCAAGTTTTTCTTGGCTACCTGCTCTTTTCTCTTATATGTTCGTGTAAAATACTGACAATTTGAATCTTAATTGAAAAAAAAAATCTGCTGCATCGTAATATTGAACCTTTAAAATTTACTTTAGTCTACCAGGATATCAGTCTGTATCCCCAGCTGCAGGCCTTAACCGAGCCCTGCTCCTCTTACGCACACTATCCTCACCTTGATGGTTGTCTCAGGTAAATTTAGGGCGGCCGCCAGTTCGCATCTCCGCGGCCTGGACACGTAGTTCTCGCGGTAAAATTCCTTCTCCAGTCGGGCGATCTGCTCCCGGGTGAAAGCTGTCCGGTATCGACGAATCTGATCTGCTGAGTAGGACAGGGAACCCTGACCCGAGACCATCTTAGACGGGTCGGCACTGGACTCATTAGGGTGACATGGAGAATCTCCACTCCGACCTGTAATCAAGCAAAAGACAGACGAGAGTGAATGAAAAAGTGTCCACTTTTGAGCTTAATTCGATATAATGATTAATTTGGAAAAACATTATTTTAATTTAGAATTTATCTTTATTTTTTATTTTCAATTTTCTGTTTTCATCAGAGTTCGTCATTACATTGTTATTATTTTAACTGTATTGATGTTAAGGGCCTTCATGCTCGACAGTTCACCTGTTTTTGTTCAGGCTTTTCAACATCCTGTCAACATATTTTACTTTATTCCAATATTTCGATTTTTTAAAATCATTATTCAGGTTGAGAGACAACATCTACGTATTTCACGGTCGTTCGTTTGGTTCGACACAATTTTAATTTCAGCCTAACAACCCCCTCGATGAAATCTATAGTTTAACTAAATTTAGATTCATTATATATAGTCACAATCTTGAGTCTTTACATCGATGAGCATGACACATAAATCCTGCAGGTTCTCATGTCAGTGGCCTTTTTTCTGTTTTTTTATTTCTTGTGGTTTATATAAAATCCTGCATTCCTCCTCGTGTTGTAAATATAGACTTCATATAGAGGCTGATTTGCCTGAATTGTTAAAGTCAGAGGGGAAAATGCCTGGTTAGATTGTGGGTGTCACCTCAGCGTGTTTCTAGCCACACTGGTCACTTGACAGAACAGCTGTGCAGCACACACTGCACGTATCTTCAGCTGGTCTACAGGCTAAGTGCAAAATCTTTTAGATGTCTGTGCACATTTGTATGTTTTCAGTCAGTGTGTGGATGTACTCTGATATTTTGTTACGTATTACCCACGTTGGTGTCATTTCGCTCAGGCATGCAGTGACAGAAAAAGCCGCAGTGCACGCAGCTCTTACCTTTAGCAGTCGGGAAGTCCATGCTTTCAGGCGTGCAGCTTACATCAATTTCCTCGTAGAAGTCCGACTCTGTGTCTGAGCTGCTGCCGTCTTTGTGCAGATGATCAGTCCGGTGTCTCTCCCCGGAGGAAGACGTGCCAACCGGCCTCATGTCTGCGCACAAATTCCTCCGTGCGCTTTCCTCCACTATCCCCTCCGTCCTGTCTCTGGAGTAGGGCGCAGCAGCACCGGGGCTCAGACAGCCCCTGTGGCCCGGCTTCCCCAGCTGCTGGTCTCGCTGCTCGGGGCTCTCGACGGCTTCTGGTAAACTCGAGCCGCTCTTGCTCAGCTGACCTCCCTCTGCCAGCATCACCATCTCCTCTCTGCTTTCCATCACAGAGGCGACTTAACAAAAAACCTGGACTCCGCGTGAGAGTGCGAGCCGTCAAACAGCCAGACGAGGGTTTTCAGGTTGGAGGGGTGTGTTTGTGTGTAGTGTAGAGGTGAAGGAAGGTGGGTGGATGAGGGGGGGCTGAGTCTTCAGAAGAAGGAAGGAAGGAAGGAAGGAAGGAGAGGCTTCTGGAAGAAAAAAAAACAGGGGATGCAATCCGGTGTGACCCTGAGAGGAGAGCGCTCCAGAGTGCGCAGAGGGAGCTCTGGGAGGGATCACCATTTACCCCTTCTCTCTCTCTCTCTCTCTTTCTCTCTTTTTCTCCGGAGCTGTCATTCTTAATAGGCCTGTCGTCATGACGGCCCCCCCTCTCTGATGACGACACGCATTGATTGGAGATGGGTAAACAGACGGAGGGATGGATAGTGGTGATGGTGGGGGGTGAAGAAGAAGCAGCTATAAAATAGACGATCTATCTATCTATCTATCTATTGATAATCCTCCTCTTTCTTGGTGTATATATTTTATAATCTATATGGTCTTTTTGTGTCTTATCTGTTCAATGAAAACATCTTTTTTGAAACTACTGCGTCACTGATTTGTAGTTTTGATTTATGGTACAAAGATGCACTTTGAATCCCTACCCAGAAAGATTTACTTGCTCTTTATTTCACCCCTAACTCCACCCCCTCCTCGGTCTTTAGTGCCCCTCTCCTCCATCTAAAGTGGAGTCAAGTAAAGCCCTCAGAGGTCAAGTCCTGCGGTCAGAGTTTAGATAAGAGGCAATTTGACATGTAGTCCTAAAAGTCAGCAGCAGAAAAACAACTCTGCAGAAGTCTCAATCCATAATTTCTACCTCTCCAACAGGGAATAAAGACACTTTAAACTCGAGACCATACAATGATATGTTTAATTGATATTTTAACACAGAGTTAATCAAAAATAGTCATTTCTCTCATTCACAGCATTGCCCTCAAATACTAAATTGTTTTTATCTATGAGCTTCCGTCAGGCCTCAAATATTTGTTAGGATGGGAAGTTTGTAAAATCTTGGTGGCTGTTTAATGCAAGTCTTTTAGTAGTGTTACAAAATATAATGCTCTATATGGAAAAATCTCTAATTAATGGAAAGAAATCACTGAAAATTGAGCAGGGATTGAGTTACTGTCTTGAGTTGTTTTGGCAGGGATCATGTAGTGACCTGCTGTAATCCTATTCTGTTCTTTCCTCTGTCTCTGGGATCACACGCTGCATCAGATGTACTTTCATTGAAAACTGTTCAAATGAAGGTTGTAGTGTGCTAAGTGTTTACTGCATTTGTTGTCTCTTCAAGCTCTGATAATATTGGCTTTGTCTTTGCTTTAGCTCGCAATTTCAGCCCCAACATTTGCACCCCAACTGACTGACTGACAAATACTGACCCCTTTGAACCTGTGCGACTCTAGATTTTATGCTCAACTCTTGATGTATTTATTGCTTATTAACAAAGACATTAAATGAATTCTGGAAATGTAATTTAAAGAGACATGAGGGGAACATTTTCTAAGATGATGCTTTTCAGAATCAGGTTTATTGCCATGCACATTTACATTCAACAGACTTACCCTTGTGCTTTAAGTACATTATAACCAACATACAAAAAGACAGAAGCCACAATGCATAGTAATACTCAAACTCTTAAGAGACTAAAATAGAGCAAAATGACTATATATAGGTGTGAAATATTGTATTTTGTACCATCATAACTAACGTATTGCATACGACTTTGACCGTGATATATTCTGATACACACCGCCCCAGTTTTTATTAGGAATGAAGAATCAGTTCACATACAGCAACCTTTCAGCAGCTGCAGGCCCGTGCACCACTCTGTATTTATGCTGGAACTGGACCAACAGTTGAATCACCACATATTGTCCCACAGCTGATACTTGAATAAAATAGAAGAACACATGTTTGTAATTTTAGTCAGCTATTTATCACAAGATTGTACATGAGAGAGCACATACTGTAACTTACTGTAAAAGTTTAACATACATAATAGATTTATGTAAAAGTTACTTTTGTTCTGTTTCAAATGAAAGATCCATCTCGATCTCCAGGTGTAGATGGACAACACTTAGATCAGCATTTCTCCACCCAGTTTTTGATGAGGTCTTCAGCTCTTCAGCTCAGTGGTGTAGGCTCCACTCTGACGGCCATGATGTATTGTATACAAGTGTAGTCACGTGGTCTCTCAGAGAGGAGAGGGTGGCAGGCTGAGCAGCTCCGGCACCAGCAGCAGTCTCTGCTGTCCTTGTGCGCCCTCGCCTGTCCGAATGAGGGAAAAGGCCCCGAGCGATGCCCCCCTCCCCTCCACCCACCCCAGCACCCAGCCCAGAATAGAGGAGAGAGAGAGAGGGAAATTCCTCTGGATTTCTAGCTCGAGTTTTTTCATCTGGTCAGCAAAGGAGGCAAATAAGTTATCCCATTACTGTCTTTATTCCATTTTCTCTCTTCTAATATCAGATAGATGGATGAATCCGTGATAGCACTGGTGGTATTTAAACCTCATCTTAAGTTTTATTTGAGTAGTTTTAGGGACACACAAGATCCAAAACTTATTAGATAACAAGTTAAATGAGACAGTCTTAAGTATTCAATAACCACAGTGACATTGAATTCAATTTGGTAACTCTTTGCACGAAAAAGTAGCTGTAACTCAGCGAGAAGGGAAATGGAAATGACTGGTTTTAAATGTTTTGTTTTTTTCCGTTAGTTTGCTTTTTATCTGCTAGTCTGTGCGTAAAGAGCGCAAACTGTTTTTGCTTCGTTGAGTTTAGCTTATGTGTTTGAACCCATCTTACCAAGTTTGATTGTGCAGATTTTAGACACAGAATTCCCTTATTTCTAGAAAAGATTGATTTAATTGGTTTTTAAGCCATAAAGACGAACTAATGCAATAGTTGAGCGCGTCTCTAGACGGCAAAGGTCTCATTGTTTTGCTGCTTACCCAGGAGGAGGGGAAGTGATGCAACAGGTCTTGGCCAGGGCAGATGAGATCTTGTGATCGTCCGGAGATAACAGAACTGCTTTTGCGCAATAGATGAATGACCTTGTGGGTTTACAGTAGTGTCACTTATATAGTGTGTGTTTAAGATAGTGGAGGACAACGGATGGGTTTGGAGTGCTCGCTGATAGTGGAACCATTATGTGCTGATTTGCATCAATGGAGTCCAATTCTATGCATCATCTTGAAACCCCGCATTGTGGGTCCAGCCTCTGCACATTCTTGTCGGCAGAGGTGTGGACTGCAGCCATGGCTCTGTCTCGGTGTCTAGTTTTGCAGGGGGGAGATCAAAGAGGGGGAGCGCCCCACACGGCAGACACTGCAGAATGCGCCCCTCAGTTTTACTAGCCAGCCCAACTTGAACTTGACCATGGAGCCTGCGCAGTGAGCATGTAATCCAATCCACGGCCCAGACATGCACGAATATCTGCTTTAAGCACAAAAAGAGTGTGAATGCGTGATAGAAAAGCGCATGAATGAATTTGGTGGATGTTAAATCCCCTGCTGGATGAAGGTGCAGCGTTCCTCAAGGAGTAAAAACCTAGAAGGAAATAACATCTAACCTTTCCTTCTTCTCATTATCGTGGCCCCTCCCGTCTCCACTGCTTCAACTTGGCCTTGAAACAGGATGACGCAGCTACCACAGAGTTAACTCGCTGACCTTGGAGAGAAACACGTCCTGATGTCTCTACAGCTGGAAATGTGTGCGCTCTAAAACCCGCATTTATCATTCTTCTCTGCTCCATCCTGCAAAAGGGCTCAGTAAGGCGCTGAGATCCGGCCTGTATCACCCCATTAAAGGGGAAAACATCACGGGGTACGGCTTACCAGCAGTTGAGCAGTAGCAAGGCAACACACCAGGTGCAAAGCCCTAACGTTTCACAAGAGCGCATGTAATGCTCGGGACTGCGCGTCCCTGGCATCTTTGAGGGAGGTGATATTTACAAGTCTGACTGCTTACAAATGGGTTTTTATTTTTAGGGAGTGTTGCTGTCACCAGTTCCTTTGCAAGCATAGGTTCCTGTTTGCATTATGTCTTGTCTGGCGACTTTCAGCAGTATAGTGAGAGCAGAACTCAAGCAGAGGTGGCCTATAGCTTTGAGCATTTCTGTGCGTATTTGTGGAACTTTTCCACACTCGCTCCAAGTAATTCCGTTTTTTAAGTATTGTGAGGGCAAAGTTACATCCATGCAGTCTGAAGTATGTTTTAAATGGACTCGACTGTACTTTCTTTGTTTTCCAGTCGTCAAGTTGAGGTTTGAACCACCATAATTGACAAAAAGAGAAATGACTGCATCAAAAATAATAAGCAACAGGACAATTCTGTGTGAAAACGTTGTATTTAGGAAAGATTTTAATTGATAACGGTACTGTACCAGCCTGTCTATTTTGATAATTAATGCTCTGAGCGCAAAATGGGATGCTATCATGAAGGATATCATACCACAGTTTTTTTATATAAATTTAGATTTTGATTGATTATATTTTCAGGATTATAAGCAGCCCCGTCAATGACAAAACAACATATGTTTTTACACGATTGTGAAAAAGATCTGAAAAAAAAAATAATAATAATAATAAGTTGGTTGTTAAAAAAGAGACATTTTTGGCAAACAGGATGTTTTTTTACAACTAGATATCTTTTTTTAAATCTTCCCTCAAAAATTGCGTTTTAAATTTTACTATTAACACTTAACTGACTGATTATTAGTTCACTGCGACTGTTTAATTAAGTAAGCCTGGGCTGCTTAGATATAAATCATCTTTTTCGTTTTGATTCAACTATTTCTCTCTAAAAGCTCTTTAAAAGTTTTCCATCTCCCTTTCTGCGTCTCAATGAATATGCATACGACATTTTTACTGTAGCTATACTTTGTACTCGTCCTTTTTCAGGCTAGATGCGTAATTATGACAGATGTGTCTCACAAGAGTGCAGTGGGTGATTATTTACATTTTAAAGCTGCATGCAGACCCCATACATGCTTTTTTGACGAATTTGAGATTGTAATATGTCTGGAAAATAAGAAAGTATCTAGAAATGTTTTGTTTTTTTCGGCCTCAGTTTTGATTGTTTATACCAAAAAGCATGGACGGTTTGCTCTTTGCATATACAAACTTATTCTGCTGATAAAAATGTAATTTCTACCAACGGACGAATTTACGCGTAAAAACCGCTTTTAGCCAAAGTGTACCTTCTTTAGAGAATAAATGTACTTACACAGATATAGCCCAGGTAATGCACAGACTAATGCTGCAATAATTAAATCATAGAAACATAACCACTCTCTCTCTCTCTCCTCGTTGATGGTTTACTTACATGGGATTAGGAGTTGATGCCTTCTGCATCCACAAATGCAGCAGCAGTCGTGAGTGAGCACCGGCTCAACTTTTTCTATCTGCTGTGATTCCCGTGTGCCAATAAATGATTTCACACGCAGCTTACAGGCTCGAGCTTTAGCAGCCTGTTAACGCAACATTTAAGACTTCTGCAAGAGGAATAGAAGCAGACTCAAACACACACCTTCAACGGCGCGTGGGAGTGAAAGTTTCCAGTTAACCGTGCACCTTGAGGCAGCTCTCACTCCGTGTCCTTACAGTGAAGGGGCCAGACTTTTTTTTTTTGTTTCCCTTTTTATTTTTATGCACAGCTTCGTAATCCCACTGCAGGCCACCGTCCAGAAAAATATGCAAAAGTCAAGTGTGTGACCGCCCTGTGGTTCCCTGCTCCCACCACAGAAACATATTGCTCCTTATGCTCTGACAAGTTTTTTGACAGCAGCCTACATTAAACACGTGTCATCAAGGCTGAATCCGACTGCGTGTAGTTTGTCTTAGCAGCCTGTTTTACAACATAATTTCTGCTATTAACGATAGAAATTTATAGTCGAGCATAACTTTATATGGACCTTCCCTCCTCTGCCCGCGCGGGCTCCAGGGCGTTGGATCAAGAGGAATAATGCGCCCCTTTCTCTCTCGCGTGCGCTGTGTAATTTGGATAGTAATACAAACAGGGGGGTTGAACCTTGATAATGACCTCAGAGAAAAGCCTTCAGGCTGTGCTGCCAAGTTTCTGAGTCCTGAAGGAACCTCAAGGGCTCCTCTGAGGCATCATGAGGGAAGCCTTACTCAAAATTGAGCACCTCTGTGTTTATTTACAGCTCTTCAAGCATGCTTAAATAACAGGCAAATCCAAATTTACTCCTAGAATTCTCATATTTCAGTGATTCTCTGCAGAAAACTCAAATAAATATGATGTGAGATTAGATTAAAAAGTCTCCAATGAGATGGGACACAATGTCCAACTCTATGATGTGTCTGCAAGTGTGTTTGGCGGGACAATGTGTGCGCCGCCCCTGTCCAGAGTGTGTGTTCATTGTTCTTTGGGATGCCTCATGTCTGCACTGACCACATGTATGCGCGGCGGCGGTGGCGGTCACACTGGCGAGGACGCGGGAGTGTTGTGACGTTAGAAGCAGGAATCAAAACAACCCAAATATGGATGAAGCATAAATCATCTTTGAAGGAAATCACCTTGCAGCAACACCGTGTAAAATAATAAAAAGACAGGCCGGAGATGGCGGCTGTGACTCTGATCAGCTTCCCAACATCGAACATGACATAAAGACGACTGCTGGGACGATTAGTGATCGACAAGTTATTGTTTATTTTAAAAGTAGATTTACGCACACTGGGGAGGGGGGAGGGGGGAGGAAGCGCCAGAGGCTCGCGCGCGATAGGACGGGCCTTGTATCGTCTCCAAATGACTCACAGTATAGCTGCGTGTTTCAAAACGATTTCATTATTCAAGTTTTGTTAGATAAAGTCAAGACATATCCAAGCTTCTGTGGAAAGAGTTTGAATCGCACTCGGGGATTTCTACACGTAATGATGTATCAGTTAAGTTGACTATTCTGTAGGTGAAGAAAGGAGACTAATTGATTTGTTTTTGTGAATTAAAACTTGTAGAATTCTTTAAGAACTTTAAATCTCGTATGACCAGAGTCTTTTCACTGCAAACACAGGAAAGCACATCATCTTCCCAAACTGTTTACTTCAGCCCATTTGGTTCTCCTACATCACATTTTTACATTAGCATGCACAACTTCCACCATTCTTCTATGAATAAAAGCTATAATAAACACTGAGACCTTATTTAGTTAATGTTGATAGAGGAAAACCCTTGGAATGATCAGGTATCTTTTTGAACAAATGCACAATATAAATCCATACATCTCTTTTATCTGGTTTTTGGCTCAAATTAACATTGATTTTTATTTATTAAATCTTATTTTAGGGTTCTACTTTTCAATTAGCCACTTTGAAAAAGCGGTTAAACTTGAGAAAAAAATGGGAAAAAAAGCTTTTCTTAAAAACCAAAAAATTAAATTAAATTAAAAACAGCCTGATCCTGAGAGCCACATGATAATGTCATTTTCCCCCTTTCCTATTTGCATTTGTATGTTTATACTTCTAATCTACTAATTGATATAAAATGAAAATTCAGATCACAATATTCTTCAGTTAATTCACCTTTACTCGGTCGAAACTGTACACCTCCTTCAGACTCAATACAAAGCAGGCTGCGTTATATAATTAATCTCGCACACCTCTTTCCAAACGTGGTTCTTGTGGCGTCAAACGTTCACATTTTTACACGGTGGTCACTGTCACAATATTCACATTTTAGATCCAGTTTGGTCAAAATAATAAAAAAACATCTTCACAATCAGCTTGTTTAATGAATAGCACATAAACAGTCACATCATGAATCGTTTCGACTTTGGAATTTGTATGAATAGTTAGTATCTCGAGGCCTTCTTTTTTATATTTCGTATTTTTAATTGTATCAAGTCGTATTTTGTGTGAAAATAGGGTTTTAATGCTATTAAGGACGTAAATGTAATTAAAGAATGTTTCTATGTTTTGCACGAACAGTCCTCCTCTTTTGGCTGCAAACCAGCCGCCCGTGTCAGTGTTTTACGCACTCGGGTGTCAGCTTCTGTTGGGTTGATTTTTATCCCCTCTCTGCAGATAACACAGCAGTACAATTCCCCCTCACTTAGACCTCGACTGGCGCTGGACTTTGAAACAAATCTGGTGACAAATCCAATGAAAGGTCCACCAGGTCCATTTCCTACAACACAGAATAGGAGAGCCACTGGTCGTAAACACAGGCCACCAGACTAGACACACATTCACACACACGACACGTCTGTCCCGCTCCCTCTTTTCGGGGATCAACATTTTCACACCTTTCTGCCAAAACCACCTCCAGTACATGTGCAAATAAAACAAAAAGCAGCATTCCTTTTCTATTCCCAACGCTGGGACTCAAACGCACCACCCAGGAGGAGCAGCGGGTACAGACCTGTCCGTGAGAATAAACGGCGGAGAAACCCAAATGACAGTAAAAGTTAATGTCCTCCAATAGCTTTCATTGGGACAGGAATTCTCACCCCTCTTCCGCTCCTTTCAGTCGCTCAGACGGTTCCTTCAAAGCGTGAATGGCCTGACAGGCTGGACGGCTAGACAGCAACTTTCAACTTGACCTTGGCCCCCAGCCGCGTCTACCTCCTCTGCAAAAACAAGCAGGCACCATGGAGGGCTGTTTTCTCTCTGTGCCTTTAGTAAACACGTTGGAAGTCTCGTGTCTGGGATATTCACCTTGAAATCGTGATGTTGCATAAAATTTCTTGATTTCTATCCGAAAATGTATGTTGAGCTCTCTAAGGGAGTTCCTGTCTCTGGCTCTAAAACGCTGCTTCAAAACTCTAATACGAAATGAACCGATGAACATGATGCCTAAAACACTTCTTTTTCTGATGGCGTATGCGCTTTTTGGCACAGAGCAAAACGCAAAAGGATAAACTATATTGTGCATCAGCGTGTTAATGGATACGGGTATGTATTTAATACACGCCCACGAGCTGCAGCATTTGTCTAGACTCCTTTTTGTGTGTCTTTATCAACTGGAACGTGTTATTTTTCTGTAAAAAATGTGTGTAATTCACCTTATATAGCAACGTCGACAAAGGCTCAGTGCGTGCGTAAAGGCCAAACAATATGAATGTATGTTTTATGTATATATGCACGTGTCTGTTTCGGTTATAGTTCATCATACTTTATGTTTTGAGACTCTTATTTGAACTTTAAACACAGCAAAGGGTATTTCCAAACTCGTACTCTTTGATTCCAGTATTAGGGATTTTAGAAAACAAACTTACACAAGTAAAAGTCAGACTACTCCTGTGTGGGTCCTACTTTTGATTAAAACAGGCTCAAAAAATCCATTCAGCTTGAATCAGACGCGATAAAAAGCGAAATCCCTGTATAGGTACGATCACCTTACTTCGCCGCATTTTTCTCCATTTAATTATCTGCACTGGATGATGTTTACCGTCCTCTTTGCATAGCATGGTCACGTGACAACAGCTGGGCCAATGAAGGCGCAACCTCTGCGCTCTTGTGCGCGTCAGAGTGGCATTACTCTCTGGGAACCAGTATCTCCTTTTTTCAGTCTCTGAGCTTTTTAAAAAAGAGCCAGAAGCTTCAATGTTGGATGCCGTGCTATGACAACGTCACTGCTCCTCCGTCCGCGCTGGGTCGACCCGTCGGTGATGTTTCTCTACGACAACAGCGGCGGTACCGATGAAGTGAGCAAGAACATGGACGGTTTTGCTGGTGGCAACTTTGCTGCGAACCAGTGTCGGAATCTGATGGCGCACCCCGCGTCCCTGGCACCCAGCACGGCTTACTCGTCAAGCGAAGTGCCCACCTCTGGTATGGGTGAGCCTGTGAAGCAGTGTAGCCCCTGCTCAGCTGCTCAGAACTCATCCAGCGCGTCTCTGCCTTATGGGTACTTCGGTAGCAGCTACTACCCGTGCAGAATGTCACATCACAGCAGCATTAAATCGTGCGGAGCTCAGCCTCCCTCTGCGTATGGGGAGAAATACATGGACACCTCAGCCTCGGGCGACGACTTCACCTCTCGGGCGAAGGAATTCGCTTTTTACCCCACTTACCCTTCAGGCCCATACCAACCTGTTCCCAGCTACCTGGACGTTCCCGTTGTGCCTACAATCAGTGCGCCCTCAGAAGCCAGACACGAATCCCTGCTGCCGATGGAGAGCTACCAGCCATGGACACTCGCGGCCAACGGCTGGAACGGACAGGTTTACTGCGCCAAGGAGCAGCCGCAGCCTGGACATATGTGGAAGTCCTCCATACAAGGTAGGCTGCTTTCCTCTGAGTCCTGTCTTTAAGGGGGGGAAACGGAGTCTGTGCATGTTAGTTTGTCACCAAAGAACAGATAGGATGCACTTTATACAGAATGGAGTGTTTGACATGTCAGATTTTGCTGCAGCCTTAAAAATAAATAATACAAAAATCTGCTGGTTTATTAAAAATCAGTGGAATATGTGAAGAATATAACATGTAGTAAACATAAAATAAAAAGGGAGAGCAGTCTGCGCTAGTGTTATTTGTGAAGTTAGTTATCTAGAACCTTTTCTTAGAGTATTTTGTAATAAATGTCTGTTTTTATGAGGCAATCTGACATGGTTTCCTTGTTTTTACGCATGCTTCTCCACTGTGACTTAAAAATACTAGACTATATTTAGAAGCTAGACATAATGGGTGGCTGAGATTTTATCAGTCAGTGGAAAACACTCTGACTATTCAGTTATTATGAGGTCCATCCACTTGTTGAGAGGAGGCTACATGACAGCTCCTTTTCTTTCTTTCTTGTCTCTCAGACGCGGTGTCCCACGCAGGGGGAGACTCCGGCTCTTATCGACGTGGAAGAAAGAAGCGCGTGCCATACACCAAGGTGCAACTGAAGGAACTCGAGCGCGAGTACGGCGCCAATAAATTTATCACGAAGGACAAACGGAGGAGGATATCAGCGCAGACCAACCTGTCCGAGCGGCAGGTCACGATATGGTTTCAGAACAGGCGGGTGAAGGAGAAGAAAGTTGTGAACAAATTGAAAACTATCAGCTAGTCGTTTGATGACGGACAATTATCCGTGGGAGATAAACTTCTAACTACACCTCCACCCACCCACACACACACACAGACACACACTCACACACTTACACACTTAACACACTGACACGTTTGGACTCATGGATTGGAACAACAGTCTTCCCTGACTGAACATGAACATGATTTATTTGTCAGTTGCCAAATAATTTCCCGGAGCTCCTGGAACAAAATCCGAGGCCTCTCTTTGGCGGATTCTGCCACTTGTTGTTAAATATTGTTCGAAGAGTCAAGTGGTGACAAAAAAAGAGACAATATATATCTACAGTATGTGTGACTCATTTTTTTTTTATTATTTTATTTTGGCATGCTCACCCTCAGCACAGGAAAAGCTGACCCAAGCTCAGAACATTTTTGCGCCACCGAGCTACGCCTTTATCTGCAACTTTAACGAGAGTGATAAACGCGCAGATTCACAGGAGGAGACAGTGAACGATTTGGACCTTGGAAATGTTAAATATTAATCTCTCCTGGCTTCCTTTTTCAAAACCTGCTCACATGCTTTGCTTTGTATGAAGTCTTATCATTTGAACCCGTGCTCTCATTCATATTCACTCAATCCACGGTGCAATCTTTCATATGATAATGCTTAGATAATCGTTCGGGATATGTGTTCATATCGATCATAGCTTTTATAATGTGTGCGTATTCATGTGGTTGTATATAAAGTAAATTCCGGCATGATATGAGGACATTTGTGTGTGAGTCCAGTGTGTCGGTGTTAAAGTCCGCCCCAATAAAAAGAAGGACTTGGTTGAATTTTATCTAAATGGTGTTAGAAATAGATTTCAGGCAATCACGAGAGCTCGCGTTATTTATTTACATCTGAGTGTTTATGGTCAAGACGGATCCGCTTTACTATCACAGGCCTTCCTACTCCTGCTGTGTGTGTGCGTGTGTGTGTGTGGGGAAACATTTTCAGAAGTGGTTTCTAATCATAGCTGGTCGCTGAAGTAATTCAAATTTTCAAAATTAGAGTAAGGGAACGCTCAACATAAATTAAAGTCAAAGATAGCCCATTTACAAAGTGTTGTGTAAAGCCGAGCTATGCTGGATTAAGAGAGAGAAGGAGCTCAGTGGAGTCTGTGTTAAAATGTGGGCTGACACTGCCATCTGGCGGTGACTTTGTGACATAACGCTTATATATTATCAGCGGTTTAAAAGCACCAACAAAGCTTTGCGGCCTACTCATTTTACAAATTTATTAAAAAGAGAAAAGTTAAAAATGGAGATGCGTCTGATTCAGTCAAATTATATAACAATTATTATGCTTTCTCTTGGTCTTTACTCAAGACGGCTGACGGTAAATAAAAAGGGTGACACATATACGCAACAACCCTTATATTAAATAACTTAAAATTATACACAAACCTCCAAAAGAAAAAGTCTCTAAATTTTATTTTATTTTTTTCATGTACGATGAAAATCACCGCTCAGCAAAAATACGTGTTGTACAGGTTACACTCAGAAGGGCATTCAAAGACCGTAATTTCCCTTATTGTTATTTTCTCGTACTGTGGATCAGGTTTACCCAAATTTTTCCAAAAAGTTCTAATATATCTCTGTATTTTTATTGCACTATTGCTTTAACTTGTGCATTGCTATTCCTAATTTGTGTTTAATTATGTGCGCACAGTATCCACGCCGAACGTCTCCAAACGCGTACAGAAATTTACATTTTGAGTAGATATATTAAGAGGGGTTAAATCACAATCAGTATCTAATTTCTGAATATATTTAACTTTAAAGCGCATAGTATCTGGTTACAAAAGCGCACAGCAGCACGATTCACGAGATTTTCGCTTTAATTTGTACCATATTTTCAATATTTATTCCATGCAGCCTTCGTCGACATTCATAACTCAAGCGGGTGTTCCTCGGTCTTGTTTTGCATGTTTTGTATTTTATTGTTCCAAATAAATTAGGACTAAAAAACAAAGCGCAATCTGTCGAAAGAGTCCGCGCTCGGCCGCTGTTATAACAATTCACATATCTTTAACCTTTTGAGGGATCCATAGGCTGTTCTCTTTCTTAATAATGCATCATTTTTCAAAATTTAACCCATTTAAATGTGTTGTATCATCAAAACGAGGTTACATACTTTTAATATCGAATATATTTTAACCTCTTTTTAAGTCTCTTTTCTGAGCCTGGTAGTTATTTCTCACTGTCGATAATTAGGAGTGAGCTCTAAACTAGGACAGAAATATTTCCATTCGGAGTGACTAAGAGTATTTTGTAGGGCACAGCTGTATCCAGAAACCCCACATCCCAGCATGTTTGGTTTGGCTGCTTTCGTCAAAATGATTCAGTCTTCCTGGCTTCAGTCAAACGTCAGGCATGAAACCAAATCCTTCCTCGTGCAGGGCTGCCGCTCCTCACACCTGTTAGTCTGATTTACGCACTTCTCTAATTGTTTTTAAGCCTTTTTTGTATTGTGTACATTTCTCCCATACCGAGCAAATATGCTGATAATTGGCCTAGGCCTAACATAAGACATATTCCAATATTATGTAGGCTCTACTTTTCCAGTATAGAACAAGCTCCACATTTGTGTCATTTAGCGATCTATTAGCTTTATTTGCTAAAAAACGTAAAAGTGAATGGCGTTATTTCATATATAGAGGAAAAGAGAGAAGATGGAATAAAATCAGGATAATGTGATATCAAAGGTGATAAGAGTGATATGAGTATTTTACATTAGAGTTTAACAATAGGGCTTTCTTTATTATTATCCAGCTTGTTGCTGACCCCTTGAGTTGAACGCAGTAGGCCTTTAGAATGGTGGTAACACTGATAATATTGTTCAGTTGTCTGATTTTTAGCACAAAGTCTTCATTTGTTATTAATTTTGGAACTTTTATCATATAAAAACAAGATTTTTAAACTCACTTTTTACATTAAATTCAATATTAATCATAATCTCTCCATGGCCTATATACCATCTATGATTTTTGTATGATAATAGTTTTAAATATAATCTCTCTGTAGATCCCTCTGTCTTAATTCACCGTCAGCAGGAGTGTTTTTACGCTCTCAATAGGCTGCTGTCTGTTTATGATGTGCGCGTGACCCGCTGATTGACAGATAGTAACCTCTCTGAAATGTGAGACAGCCCAGCTACGTCCGCGTTCACGCAATCCGGCGCTCCCCCCGCTCCTTCCTCCTCTGACGTAGGCACGGCGGAGCGCGCACGCTTTACAAAATCCGCCCAGAGATGGGAGAAAAAGTGTGAGGTCTGACTGCGCGGAGTAATCCGAAACCTGAAAACACCCGAGGCGGAAGTAGCGGAAGTGAACTCAAGAGGAGCTGCTAAAGCGGATTCTCATTGGCTTTGAGAGAGCATAACGGTTTCTTATTGGCTGTGTGTGAACAAAAACAACACTCCAAGTCCCGCCCCCTCCGCATGAGAAAAGTTGTGAGACCAAAGCCAACAGCACGAAGCTCCGCCCACTCATCTTGAAGCACAAGCTATCTTTGACAGGGCAGGAAACAGAGGAGAGTGGCGTGGATGACCGTGAAGAATTGGGCTCTGCTGCCACACTCAGGCGAAATTGTGAATGACAGTTTATTCCATTTTTTAAAAAGCAGGTTTAAATAAACCCAAACAGAACAAATAATCTTGTTATATGGGAGTGTAAACTGAGCAAATTTCTTCTCTGTACAACTGGATGATTTAGGGGAAGATAGTTGCACAAGAAGGGTCCATTTTAAGCAACACTGAAACTAATTCATGAGATTATTTTGATAGTTTTATGTCCAAAAAGTGTTTAAACATCAGAAGGTTAAGAGCAACATGACCGTTTTAGTTGAAAGTAAGGTCATATAGGGTCAATTTTTAATGCAAAGTTTAAAGGGACGTTTCTGCATCATCGATAATGGGTCCGTTTTTTTATGTAGGCTAAAAGAAAAGTTAATAAAACCAATCAGCCTTCATGTGAAAAATATACTACTACCTAAGTTTTTGACTAGCTGAACTGATTTGAGGTCCACAGAACCAACATTGAGCCCGTTGTGTCTCCTGTGTCTGTCAGACGTGGCTGAGCGCAGACAGGCCCACTTTGGTCTTTACATTGACCTTCGCTGTCCTTCTGCAGAACAGAGGCGAGACCTGCAACCTTCACTCAGACAACAGCCTATAGCTCCTCTCTGTTCAAACTCGAATACCTGAATCTGAGAGGTAATCTCCTAATAATACGACACAGAGACCAGAGCAGACACACGTTAATCCAGCACCGTGACAGCGGTCAAATGGAAGCACTTGACCGAGATTATGTGAAAGCCTCCTCCGTGTCTGAGTCGGCGCCTATTTCCCCCACAGACACGCGAGATTTTCCTGTCCCTATCTCATTTGGCTTGAAATGTGAATTCCAGATAATTCACGCTGTCCCTCATTAAAACAGTATCCTATCAAACAGAGGAAAACGATCCACTGCAGAATGAGATGATCATGGATCACTAACGCAGATGTTTTGCGTGCTCTGCGTGGGCTATATTACCCTGTTTTCTTTATTTTATTTCCCCTCAAAACGAACTATCACTTCAGAAATAACCACAGAACACAAACAACCCCACTAAAAGACATTTCGAGGCAAATGCGCAACATACCTTGAGCCTTTTCTCACAGCTGAGGCGCAATGAAGATCCGCTCCAAAAGAAATGTTGACAAAACGCGACAAGAGACAGTGAGGAAATATTTGTTATTCAAACATGCTTAACCCCCTGCAGATGTTCCACTGCTTACTTTACTGTATTTGTGTCCTGCCAAAAAAAAACCCTGCAAAGGCTGAGCTCCATTTTGTGCCAAAATGAGGTAATCCGAGGGGGTGTTTTATTTTGCATCGACTATTCGTGCTTAATGCGGAGTAAAATCACATTTTAATGAACTCAAATACTACTAGAAGTTTTTTATGAAACTAAATACTCCTACGTATTGTTCGGTGTTTGTTTTTATTTCAT